CTGAAGGTTGACAGCTGGGAGGAGGATGAGGAAGCGGTATGTGAGGAAGAGAAAGGAAAGGAAAAAAAAAAAAAGGAACAAATGAAATCGGTATTACTATATTGGACTGCGTATTCGGTACATGCCGAGGTCTAGACGTCTTGATCAATTTTCATCGTCTGCTGCGCTGTGTTGGGGGGGGGGAGGGGGGTAGAAAAAAAATAGTGAATGAATGTGAAGCATGAGAAATACAAGATGATGTAGAATGAAACAGAATAGAATAGAATAAAAGGTTCACGACAGCATGGTCCTTTTTCTTGATGGCGTACGAGTATCGACAGACCAGGCGTTGATATTAGTAGGTAATGCATAATACCCATCATCATACTACATACAGATGACAGCTACGCGTACTAGATCGGGTACGTACAATGTTGTTGTTGTTGTTGTTGTTGTTGTTGTTGTTGTTGTTGTTGTTGTTGTTGTTGTTGTTGTTGTTGTTGTTGTTATTGTCATTGATGATGAGTACATCAACTCTGAGGGAGGGAGAGAGGGAGAGAGGGCGGGAGAGAGGGCGAGAGAGAGAGAGAGGGAGGGAGAGGGAGAGGGAGAAACCGAGAAAACAGAGACCAGAGGAGAGACAGAGACAGAGACAGAGTTTCGGAACAATAATCCCCATGTGGAAGCCATGAGGAGCAACTACCTTCCTTCCGAGTCGGACCCAAAAAAAATGGCAACTGGCAGAACGGCGACATGATTTCATTAAACTCTAATTTTTGGCGGGAGCGGAACGAGGAAGGAGAAGAGGAGAAGAGAAGGGGGGGAGGTTGGTTATATCTGTTCTCTGTACAGTGTATGGGTGACGTGGCTCAGTCATTCTCTGTCTCGCTTTTTTTTTTTCTCATCCTCTTTTCTTTCTTTTCTTTTCTTTTTTTTTTTTTTTGACAAGAAAAAATTCATATACTAGTAATGATATATTCTTCTCATCATAGAGAGGCGAGACTGAGAGAACCCCGCCCGTAAGAGTTGCACATTCTCTTGTGTTATACACAGCTTCGAGCTTGTGCTTCGTATGACCACCTCATGATACAATCACAAGATTACCTGCATCCCAAGTCAGTCAATACTCCGCTTCTACTACAACTTGACAATAACGATGTCGCGTGGTCCATTCTGAAGCCTTGGCAGGCTTTTTTTTTTATCAGGTTCTTTTTTTTTATAAAAAAAAAAAGAAAACTTCTTCTCTTCCTTTATTCCCCTTTCCTTTCCTTCTCTTCTTTCTACCTTTCTAGGCAAATTTTTTTTATGGTCCGTCTTGCACACGTGGGACACTATCTGTTGCTTTAGTACGATGATAGTACATAGTTTCTCCATAAAAAAAAAGGGGTCGTCTTGTAGACAAGACACTATGATATACTTGTACTTGTTGAACTTGTAGCTGTTCAATTTCAGTCCTTTTTTTTTTTCTCAAAAAAAAAAAGAGGAGGAAAAGAATGAGATGAGAGATAGAGAGAATGTGAGTGAGGGAGGGAGGGAGGGATGGAGCGAGAGAAAACCGGCAAAGTGCCGGATGACTGGCCGAATTTATCTTGGTTTTATTATCACTATTATTATTTTCACTTTCACTTTTCCTTTTCTTCTTCTTCAAGGGTCTTATGCGACGGGCAAAACTCTAAAGTCGAATTATGTCTCATGGGCACAAGCAGGGATAGATAGACTGGCCACGTCAACATATTTCTTCCCGCTGTCTATTACTTCACTTGATCCTTTTGGAGTTGTTTTGCCTTTCGTTGCCGTTTTGCTTTTCCGCAAAAGACGATTTGAATAGGTTGTCTATGATACACCTGTTGAGATCATGGTTACAGGCTGGTGATACAGCCCGCATATGGAATATGGAGTTATTAGTATAGATATCGATACACTTCTGCCATAACAGCAAACAAGTTGATGAATGGCATACATGATGCAGTGATATCTTTTCTCTTCTTTTCCCGTTTTTTTTTCTTCTTCTTCTTCTCTTCTTTTTAGAAAAAAAGAAAAAGCCCTTTACGAGTGGGAGTACCGCATCCACGGGACCAAGAGCTGCGATCTGGTGGGGTAGTACGAGCAGGGGTCTGAGAGAACCAACCCACCCGTGGACCGTGTGGTTGATGCGGGTGTAAACCTACGAGTACGAATTACGGGCGAATTCCGCGATACTCGGGTACGAAGATTATCAACGACACCTGTACAACCTACGGTGGCCCGTTCTCTGTATCAGATTGAAGCAGACTATATTTGGGGGGGGGGGGGGGGGAAATGAAAAAAAAAGGAAAAAAAAAAAATTTTTTTCCCCCCCCCCCCCCAAATTTGGATTGGAAGAGGGAACACACATGCACACACACACACGCGCGGATAGAGAGAGAGTGTGTGTGAGTGTGTGAGTGTGTGAATGTGTGAGTGTGTGAGTGTGTGAATGTGTGAGTGTGTGAGTGTGTGAATGTGTGAGTGTGTGAGTGTGTGTGTGAGTGTGTATGTGTGTGTGTCTTTCTCTTCTAAATGTGCTGATACCTTGCCCCTCCCCGCGGACCGACGAGCATGAACAATTAAACCTTGAACCGAAAATAGGATATTCCCATGCACGCACACACATCTCGGCAACTCTTGTACTCTGTATGTTTTGAACTCTCGGAGGATGTGATCGGGGAGAAATGCAGATTGCCGGTAGAGCACGTCTCTTCATCCTGATTTCTTCTTCTTTTTTCCCTGTCAGTTTTTTCCTTCTTCCCTCTTCCCGTATGGAACAATGATCGCCGGAGGGGGGGAGGGTTCATCAAGCTCAAAGAGAGAGTGGCACAATGTCATTCGGATTGTGGCAGCTTCAAGCTAGCTCCACCCGTTTATCTTCCCTTTTCTTCCTCTTCTCTTCTTCCCCCTCTTGGCCCACGCAATGGGGTCCCCTTTTTTGACTTGACATGTGTCAGTTTCCTTCTTTTTCTCTTCTCTCTCCCCCTCCCCCGGGGGGGTGGCAAAGCTTCGAGAAGGTCAGGGAGAATGACATGAATACTTAGTACTCTTCCAGTTTCTTCTTCCTGACTCGCGCGCACACAAGGTCAAGGACTGATTCATGATTGGGGTGACGTGAATATGTCAAGTCAGGTGAGACAAGCTTTCCCGTGATGTTATCACCACGTTGGAGAGTCGGAGAGGGAGGTAGGGTCGTGTTATACAAGCTGCACCGATCATTAACTTGTACTATGTGGAGGAGTAAGGAAGGAGAGAAGGAAAGAGAGAAAGAAGAGAAAAGGTTCATGTCCCGAAACATCCGTTTCCGGGGGTGTGGCTTTCGATCATGGTTCAGCCTGAACGGGTTAATAATAGCTGTTCTTCTCGGACCCTCTCTTTCTATCTCTATACTCCCTCTCCCTCTTTCTCTCTTTCTCTGTCTCTCTTTTCGAATCGGCCGGTAAAGCTTATTAATCGACACCTTAGTATGGGGGGGGAGAGGGGGTGGGAAGTCAAAGAGACTAAGTAAACAGGACAGGAAGAAACAAGCGTTGAGAAGGAAATGGTGTCAAATTATCTTTCGGGGCAGAGCACACACTCCATCAAACTCTAGTTAAGATGAGAGAGGGAAGGAGGGAAAAACAAGATGGAAAAGAAAAAGGTCAAAGCGTGACGACGATGTAAAACATGAAATCACATTTCTCGATAATACATGTATATGTATGTATATTTAGTGAAAGGAAGAAGAAAATGGGGGGAGGGATAGGGGTTCATTGACCATTCACCTTTGCCGCCTTTTTATTTTATTTTTTTCCTTCATCGGGGTTGGGGTTGGGGTTGAGGTTTCTAGTCAACTAACTGACTTGGCTGACCTGTTCAAGACAGGATGAAACCCAAAAAAAAAACCCCAAGTCATGCCAGAGGAATGTCGTGCCGACCAGAGAGAGACCAAAAAAAAAACTGCTACAGGTATGGTCGATAACCGTCACGGCGGAACTTGGGAACCTAGGAACACCTGCGAGGAACGTGGGACGCAACATATGGGGAGCTCGGGGTAACCTGACATCTGGCAGGGGTACTAGCGAGGTACTAGCCGACAGGTGACGATGCTAAGTAGGGGACTAGAAGGTCACTCGTAAAGAAGAATACTTGAGAATGAAGGAGACGAGAGATGGATGGAAAATGCTCATGAGGCGTGTGTGTGACGGGGAAGCGAAACACCCCCCCCCCCCCCCCCCTTTTTTTTTTTTTGTCATTGTCCCCAACCTTGAAAAGTCCTCTCGTGGAGACGGCGGAAAACGGTTTACATTACGACTTCTACAGAGTATGTGTTCCCCCGTTCTTGTCCTCACTGGTGCTATGGCTGCCAGGATCACCGTGATCCAGATTATTAGTACGTGTTATATACTCTGTATGAGTAGGTAATTTAGACTAATGCTAGACCCTTGGTAACAGCTCATGCATCTACCCACCACGATATATGTATAGATGTATGTATAAAGTGTTACCATCCCTTCCCCTCCCCCCTTCTCATGAATCAAAACAGAAGAACTTCCTTTCTTTCTCCCCTCCTTCTTCCTTCTTCCATCTTGCCACTCTCCTTACTCTTCCGGTCATATATCAACGTTATACCTTCGTCCCATCTATTCACATATACCCCCCCCCCCCTGATTTATCATATCCTTACTCCGTACACAAGATCAAGACCTCATCATATCCAAATCTGGTCAACCATCCACCGAAAAAAGACAAAAACACCCTCCTCCAGCCGCACCTGAAATTACCGCCCGGTCGATCCCCTGTCCCGCAATCTGCACGACACAAAGCTTCCTGTCTTGGGACAATCCACACACACACACATACACACCGTGGACCACTTCATTTATGATTAATTTCTTTTAATTTTTTTCCTTTTCTTTTCTTTTTTTTTTTTAAAAAAAAAAAAAAAACAAACTCGTCTTTATTTCTTTTTCTCTTGGTCCCCTCTTTCTCGGAGGGGTGTGAGTGTGAGTGTGTGTGATTGTATTGTATTCTTGTCCTGTTCTCATCCCTAAAGGGAAACTGAACTATTATATATCAATCCACCACCACCACCACCACCACCACCACCAACCACTACCTCCTCCTCCTCTTCTCCCTTCCACGATGCTCTCCCTCGTCACTCAGCATCTCCCTCCTTCTCAGCAAAAGATCTCGACAGAGTCTACTACTCCCATCATGCCTCACCGTGTCTACCATGACGACAACAGCAGCAGCAACAGCGGCATGACGGTTCAGACACCATCTGCCTCATCTACAGCCGTCTCGTCGCCATCTCTGTCCACCACGACGACGCTATCATCCGTCTCCTCCGTCTCCTCCTCTTCCTCCGCCCCCGGAACCTCGACGTCATCCGTGGTCGACCCCTCTATCCTCCAGGCCCTCGACATCGCTCGCGACTGCCCGGATGGATCCCGCGACCCAACCGTCAGCAAGATCCTCGAGGGCGCAATCGGTCACATCTGGGCCAAGGTCGAGGCCGACCCGAACTCATATGTCATGACGCGAGACGAGTTTGCCGTCTTCAACTATTTCCAGCGTCGATTCACAGGCAACGATGTCGCCCGTCTGGCCAGGGCTCGGTACTGGGACAATACCAGGGCTTAAACTGGCCCCATCAGGACGCAGGATACCATCCCTCCCTACACATACAGACACACCTACATGCCTCCTACACAACAACCATGTATACACTCTCTCGCGCACACATGCAAAAACCTGCAGTATACGAGTGCGGGATACATGGCAGGGAGAAATCCCAGATGCACTTACTTGGCGCGCGCCGGGGGGGGGGTGGTGGGAGGAGAGGGGAAACCATTATCGGATATTGCTGCATTCTCGCCCCCCCCCCTCTCCCCTCACTAAGAACGCTTCTTTTCTCTCTCTCTCCATTCACTTTTTCTTTTCTTTTTCCCCCATCATCACTCTTCTTTCTCTTCTCTTTACGATACCCCCCCCCCC